CATTGCATCAAAAGATTAAACCAGACCCGGAAAGCGAAATCAGATATTATGATTGAGGAATACCGATTCTCAAGAAATGTAACCCGTACCAGTATTTGCATTCTTGTCACCATCAGTCGGCCAACCGACTTCTCCAACAATAATAGGCATGTCTCCGTGACCAATAGCTTTCAGAGCTGAGACTAAGGTATCGAAGTTAGCATCGAAGACATTATTGTACTGAATCCCGTTGTCCACGATCTGAGTAGGACCGTCGAAGAACGCATAATCAAACGGGAAGTCGCTGCTTCCGTACAAGCTCAGAAAAGGGTATATGTTAATGGTGAAGGGAGCGTTGTTCTTGCCGAGAAAATCGACAATCTCAGTCATCTGACTGATGATATCGGGTCGGAACCTTCCTGCAGATGGCACCTGGTTATTGGCCGGTGAATCATATACGTCGGCATTCAAAGGAACCGTTGCCTTGACGTGTCCTAACCGAGCTTCGTTTAGAGCATTTTGGACATTCTGAAGCGCCGGGAAAGTGAGGTTTACGAATGATCCGTTGTACGATGTCAGAAAAGGCTCGTTCCCAACAGCTACATACCTGAGTGTAAGAATGTCCAAATCCATAAGAATTTCAGCATCTGAGTTATATTATGCATCAGACAGATTGGAGGCATTTTGATAGACATAATTTGCATCGAAACAGATAGTGTTGTATTATACAGGCAAAAACCAGTTCAAGTAGAAATTTACAGACACGAACAGATTACAAAGAGACAAAATCTTAGTCTATATTCACCAGACAAATCCAAACTCACTTTGTCCATATCTGAATACATTCAAACAGGACATCTAAAGGGGGCTTCCAGAGATTCTGTTTCAACAATCAGACAAAAACTTTCTACACCCTTTTCTGTTCTTCAGACAAAAGAAACCTTAAAAAACCAAAAATTTACTCGAACCAATTTCTACAAGCCACGAATCATCAGAAAACAAGACCAATACAAAACAGAAGAAGAAGAAGAAGAAGAA